TCCTTTCCTTTGCCCTTGCTGATGGTTGATTGCGAAGTGGATTGACTGGTACCTTCGACTTGAGTGGCCTCGCTGTCCTGGCGCTCGCTGGAAGTTGCCTCTTGCGAGGCGGATTCCGGAGTTGGAACAGCGGTCGTTCCTTCAGATGGTTTTTCTGCAGTCGGTACCTCCTCTTTCATGCGAATACGCAGAGAATGCTCAAAGACGAGTTGTGTGATGATGCATTCGATGCGAACTAGGGTGCGTGTGTTGATAAAGATGTACCATTGCATTGCCGTGCTTCCGACGAGTGGACCGATCAGAAGCCAGGAAATCCAGACCCAGGGTCTGACTACTGCATCTTTGCCACCGGTTTCGATGTAGGTAAGAAGTCGATTGATACCAAGTGGGCCAGCAAATCCAACCACTACTTTGATAAAGATGAGAACTGCCAAAGCGATGAACTCCTTATGGAAGTAAGCCAGGAGACTCCAAGCAAGATGCCTGTTCTTGTGCTTGGTCCTGAGCATAGGATCGAGATACTAATGGTCGGTTAAGATCATTGTATTCACGCTGGTAAAACAACGTACCGGGAAGCTCTTCTTGGTAAGGAATGCCGCAGCATCATAATCTGCAAGTGGAGGCAGTTTTTCATAGTCTAGATGCTCGGTATTTGCAGCGCTATATACGATTGGGTCGAGGAACGAGAAGCAGAAGAAAGTAAACCAGGAGGCAGTTTGCTCCGGGTTGACCTCTTTGTACGGGTTTTCGGGCTCTACCGGTACATATTCGTGTGGCATGAGGAATGGAACAAAGATACCGACCACAGTCAGTAGACCGATAGCCGTCCAGGTCGTCCAATGTTTCGGGTCGATTGGGTGGAGAGTATACGTTGCTAACGGCCACAAGTCCCGATAAATGTATACTCCCCATGTAGCGAGTAAGAGGGTCACGAGGTGGTTTTTGGCCGGTCTCCTAAGACGCTTCGGCAGGGCGAGTGTACAAAGAGCAAGGACACTAGTGTACATCTAGCCAAACAATCAACAAATGCACCGGAGAAGCATCCGAAAGGTGAACACGTACATAGAAAGCGAC